CGATGGATGTAGCGGAAGAGTCACTGTGCCCGGAACTTCAAATACCGAGTTCAGAATCGGTCGGATTCGAACCGACGAATAGAAGTTTTGCAAACTCATGCCTGTAAGGGTTGTGGCTGGTGAATAACGGGAGAATTTGAGGCAACCCTTTCTCCGGACCCTTCCTCGGAGCCCGAGGGTCCCTCTGAATGTGGCCCCGCCATAAAGACTCCACTCGGGGTAACCGCCCATAGATGGATGTATTTAAGTTTGAATCTTCCTTTCGTAGATTAGATTCATTTTAGAGTAATTTAGAATAAGATTCATTTTAGAGTAATTTAGAATAAGTTGGATGCAAGTTCGAATCCCCTTTTTTGTAGATTAGATGTTGACCGTGCAACTAAATGATTAGAGAACCATGGTTCGCTGCTTTCCAATCGTCCTGAGCACCGAAGCGACTGTACCAGCTGTGGTCACAATGTTGATACATTATATTCTTTTTGGGTGGTATTGTGCATTAATTAGAACGACTTTATGTAAAACAGGGGATCTTTCTGGTGATATTAGGAATGGAATTTCTGTGAGCAAGCATATCCAATGCAATATATTGTACAACGAATTCAATCCCTTAACAACATTCTCTACTCCAATCTTGCACACCAGACGATACATGTAGATTCAATTTTCAGTCGGAAATAGGGGGTATTAACTTTACTTTCCAATAGGGATGTCCGTAATGGTGGAACCATGAATTTTTCTAGAGGTAGGCAAAATTGTTTTTCTTGACTTCTTCTATAATATAATATATCATGCTTCAAATTGGCTATAGAAATTTTATTTTTTTGTTAAGGGGGCAAAAGCCCGAAAACATAAGTTCGTTCTTTTTCCAAAAATTGTAGAAATCAAAACTGTTGGCAAGCCAAACATTATTCAGAGTAACTATTACTAATTATATATCATATTTGAGTAATTTACCCTTCTAATTTTTATTCTTTTTCTTGTCCCCATATCTCATCTCTCCCAACACCTTCATTTTATTTATTTTTTCCTTCTTCTCTTCCTCTCTCTTTCTTTTTTTCCTCTTTCTTCCTTTGTCAGTCTCTGCAATTTTTTCCTCTTCTCTCTTTTTTCTATTTTTTTTTTCCATCGCTCTCTCTTCTCTTCCTTCTTCTCCTTCTTCTCGCTCTCCCTCGAAGACCAGTTGTTGTCTGGCCTTGTCCTTTTTGTGGGCTGAGAAAAAGAAAAGGCGTGTGTGTTAAACAGTGGGCTAATATTTAATTGTAGGGTATTTTTTTTTTCATACATTTAAGACTATCCAATTTAGATTTTAAAAGATTTTAAAGAAATTTAAAAGTTTAAGTGTATTCAATCACGATTTTATAGAAATCTATTCAATTCTGGGCGTATTCAATTCAGATTTTTTAAACTCTATTCAAATTTAGATGTATTCAATCACGACTTTAAAAGATTTCATAAAAGTTTGGGTGTATTAAAAAACTCATTAATTTTAAAGGAAATACAAAAAGTGGTGGATTTTGTTTGATAATAGACTAATTTTAGGCCATGACAAATCTATTAGCCCTACCGTCACCACCACCATAGCCACTGCCAGCATCATCACCATCACTGTCATTGCCACTGCCATTGCGACCACTCCATTACCACCACTACCTTCACCATCACTCCCATCACCACCATCACTATGACCCCCACCTCCTTCACCACTACCTCCCCCACAAACCACCATCGCTATCACCACCATCACCATCTCTCTAAACTTCATTAAAATCAATAATAAAATTCTAACAAACTTAATTAAAATCTATACACGAATTCAGTCAAAATCCATGTGGAGTTTGTAGAATTTAGTCAAACTCAATTAAATTTAATTAAACTCCATCAACTTTATAACTCTTTTAAAATCATTTAAAATATAAATTAAATACACCCTCCTAAGTCGGAAAATCAGCCATGGGCTAGAGCCCAGCTGAGCCCTTTCGTAGTTTTGCCATTGGATGCAGGCATAAATCCTATATGTAGCACAAACACTCCATCATGCCAAAGTGTCAGGGTGTCGGACATGGGTCAATAGTCAAGAAACGGTCAAAACAAGTTTTGGACACGGTCAAGACACTTTTGGACACGGTTAACTAAAGTCAAGACACGACAGGGACCATTTTAAAAACTATAAAAGGAAAATTGGGGTTAAAACATAAATATTGAAAACTATGTGGACATATTTGAAATTGTTTTTAAAAGTGGGTTAAAAATGGAAACAATATTTTTTTTTCTTTCTTTGTTCCTTCATAGCAGAGCTGATATTTTTGGTAGATTAAGGATATTGATAGCAATTTGGTGGTGACAGAAGCATCTTTTTGAGTGGGTAATTCATTCACTTTGTTTCTTTTATTATTTTTTTTATTTTTTTATTTTTTATTATGCAAACTCGATTCTTATTTTATGAAGTGGGAAATCATTTTTCTTATTTTGAAGATGATAGATCCTATATGAAAAATGTGTGAAATTTGGTTTATGATGAATCATGAATATGTGAATAAATATGTGTATCATTCTTTATTTTGTTTAGGAGGGAAAGATGAGTAATGCTAAGTTAACTCAAATGAGTATGAATTTGTTTTATGGTATTATGACGTTGAAGTATTAAATATGATTTTTTTTCCAAATATATATATAAGTATATACTATTGTAATTTTATTAGGATTTATCATTATTTTAATTTTCGTGTTCTAGTCGTGTCCATGTGTTTTAGTTTTTTTGAGATTTTCTGTATTGTTGTGTCGCGTTTCCTTGTCCTCGTGTTCATGTCCAAGTCCATATCACTTTTGTTGCTTCTCCCTCCCATCCTCCCCTCTCATCCTCTCTCAATCTTATCCTCACTCTCATTTTCCTCTATACTACTAAAAACTAAAATTAAAATGGTTATCAAACGAGCCCGAAAATTATAACAATTTTAAAACAAAGATATCATTTGTGATTAGAAATTTGGAGCTCTGATACTATGTTAAATATAAACATATAAACTATTAAAGAATGAGCTAGGAATGTCATATTTAATTGTTGTACTTAATAGTCGCCTAGAGCTAGGGCATGACACATTTGCTGAAGTATCCAAATTATTGTACGTAGCAGCATATATATATATATATATATTCCCAATCCCAAAACTCCTTCACAATTTTGTGTATATTTCAATTATGGAGCTAGGGCTCATTTGGGACTACTTCTTTAGGAAGCAATTTTGCTCATAAGCGCTTTTGTTATAAAGTATTGAAATTTTCATAAGAAATTCAAGTACTTCTTGGAAAAGCACTTGGGAGTGCTTTCTGAAGAAGTACATAATAGGTGCTAGCCTCCAGAATGCGTTTCTATGACCCATAAGCACTTTTAATTTTTTTTTGTCAAATGCTGTCAGAAGTGCTTTTGGTTATCAAAAAACGCTTTTACTCCTCCCATAAGCACTTCCAAGTGGAGCTAGCTTTCATTTCTTGGGGGCCCAATAATATAGATTTATTATTTTTTAAGGGCCGACAACATAAATTTTTCAATATTTTGCAACAATTACATAAATTTAATACACATTTGACATGAAATGTTAGAATTTTCGGAGGGGTGCACGACCTCAGACCGAAGTGTGGCTCCCCCGTGCTAGGTGCTTAGTGTTGTGGTGTATTTATTATGATCATGATCCTCGTAATTTTCATCACTTTCTTAATTAATTTGTTGTCCAAACTCCAGCATGATCGATCTCATCAACCTATTATGTATTATAATCTATTTGATTTAGGGCAAAACTGGATGTAATGCACAGATGATATATACTTCTGATGTTTTAGGTTTATTGATGTTGTAATGAAGATTCATTTGACCACAAACTTGGACGGGGAGGAGGGGAAATGACCTAATTAAGCACAAAATAAGTGGCTCAATAATTCAATTCAACCATCAAATGCTAATATGAACTTCTAAGGCTGCAATTAGATGTTTTGCCTACAAAACCACTCAGCCAACCTGAAATTCCAACCTGGGAAAAAAAAGATACTTCACCTTTATTATATATGCGGCACTTTGTGGCTCCATTTTGGAAAAGCTAGCTAGATAGGCAATATATTCACCTTGTCTATATTGTGTGTTCGAATTGATTCCACGTTATCTTATAATATGCCAAAAATTAAAAATCACCGAGCATGAAAACAAAAGTACATATAACAATTAATGGGCTCACCGTCAGCATTTTATGTCAACAAGGTCTAGTCTAATGAAAATAGACCTTAATTTACATACTAAAGATCTCAGGTTCAAACTCCTATGGTATATTAGTTGTGTGTGTGTAAGAAACCCCCCATCTTCTATGGTTTAGACTATCATTTGTACCCAAATAAAAATGTTGTGCGTGCAAAACCCAACGATAGTATATAATGTTAAAACTTGTGGCAACTTTTTCAAAAAGAGGCTTGGGCTTACGATGAGGTTCGGGTTCAATATGAGCCCCACAATATATTCAAGAGCTACATCATTGGGCTTTTCCCTCAAGACTTAGTCAATGACAACTAGAGTTCTAATTATGTATATGTAGCTATATAGCTTTATGTTTTTTTTTCTTTATTCAATGGAAGGGAATGAACTTTTGACCTAGTTTAATCCAGTTAAGATCTTTATAGTGAGAGGAAGTTGAGTTTGGACTGCCCGTTTAAGGAAAAGTTTACTCGTTTAAGTAAAAATTT